AGGCAGAAGAAACTCAAATGTCCACCAAGGAATGAACAGAGAAAGAAAATGTGGCCTATACTTACAATGGAATATTATTCAGCCTTAAAAAGAGAAGGAATTGGCCGGGCACAGTGGCTCATGTCTGTAATCCCAGTACTTTAGGAGGCTGAGGCAGGCAGATCACAAGGTCAGGAGATCGAGACCATACTGGCTAACAAAAAATACAAAAAAGTAGCCAGGCGTGGTGGCGGGTGCCTGTAGTCCCAGGTACTCAGGAGGCTGAGGCAGGAGAATGGCATGAACCCAGGAGACAGAGGTTGCAGTGAGCCGAGATCATACCACTGCACTCCAGCCTGGGAGACAGAGCGAGACTCCATCTCAAAAAAAAAAAAAAAGAAAAGAAAGAAAGAAAGAAAGAAAAAAGAGAAGGAATTTTTTTGTTTTTGTTTTTGTTTTTTTTGAGATGGAGTTTCGTTTTTTGCCCAGGCTGGAGTGCCGTTACGCAATCTCGGCTCACTGCAACCTCCACCTGCAAGTTCAAGTGATTCTCCTGCCTCAGCCTCCCAAGTAGCTGGGATTATAGGTGCCCACCACTATGCCTAGCTATTTTTGGTACTTTTAGTAGAGACAGGGCTTCACCATGTTGGCCAGGCTGGTCTCGAACTCCTGACCTCAGGTGATCCACCTTTCTTGGCCTCCCCAAAGTGCTAGGATTACAGGCGTGAGCCACCGTGCCTGGCCAAGAGAAGGAAATTCTGACACATGCTACAACATGGAAGACATGTTAAGTGAAATAAGGCAGTCACAAAAAAAGACAAATATTGTATTATTCTACTTATATGAGGTTCCTAGAGTAGTCAAATTTATAGGGACAGGAAGTAGAACGGTGGTTGCCATGGGCTGGGGGAGGTAAAATGGGCAGTTATTATTTAATGGATACAGAGATCCAATTTCATAGGATAAAAAAGTTTACAGATGGATATCCATGATGGTTGTACAAAGAGAAGGTACTTAATGTCACTTAACTACTTTTTTAAATGGTTAGGGCTGAGTGCGATGGCTCATGCCTGTAATCCCAGCACTTTGGGAGGCCAAGGTAGGTAGATCACTTGAGGTCAGGAGTTCGAAACCAGCCTGGCCAACATGGTGAAACCCCGTCTCTACTAATAATACAAAAATTAGCTGGGCATGGTGATGTGGGCCTGTAGTCCCAGCTACTGGGGAGGCTGAGGCACGAGAATCACTTGAACTCAGGAGGTGAAGGTTGTGGTGAGCCAAGATTGCACCACTGCACTCCAGCCTGGGTGACAGAGTGAAACTATGTCTCCAAAACAAAAACAAAAATGGTTAGAAGGTAAATTTCATGTTATCCATATCTTATTATACCATATTTTTTTTAATAAAAGAGTGGAGGTTTTCACTCAACAGCCTTGGATTTAGTCCCCAAGGCTTACCAGCTGTGTGTCATTGGGTAGGTCTCTTTACCCACTTCTCCAGTTTTCACCCCTGCCACATTGGCCCCTACTTTCTATTCCAGCAACATCCAACATACGACATAATTCCATTCCACACTCACATTCTTTAAATTCCCTCTTTTGAGAATGCTCTGCCCACCTCCCCCGACCAGCCCCATACCCCTATGCTTGGCCAACATCTACTCATCCTTCATTCCTCCTCACTTTCTCTAGGAAGAGTCCCTGACGTCCTCAGGCTGGGTTGGGAGGCTCCACCTCTGTGCTCCCACAACCCTCAGTATTAGCCATATCATAGATAATGCTATTTATTTCATTTTTCAAAAAATACTTTTTGGGCACCCACTGTCCACCAGGTACTGTTCTAGGATCTGGTGGCTAATCAATGAATAAAACAGACACAAATACCTGCCCTTGAGGAGTCTACATTCTAGGGGTACCTATCCCCTTGGTCTGTGAACTCAGAGGCATGCTCTGCCTATGATGTTGCTGTCCCTCAGTGCCTCGCACACAGTGATTCCCCAGCCCTCGAAGCTCAGGAGACGAGTAGCGAGTATAGGTGATTCTGATACAGCCCGCCAGGCACCAGGGCCTCAGAGCAGCATTGTTCAGTGAAGTCCAGTTGATCAGAGCTGAAATTGTGTGCAGGGAAGGGAATGTCCGAGCAGGCAGAGCAGCCAAGGAGTATGGGGGTAGACAGGAGAGAGAGAGGGTGTACCCTCTGTGTCTTCCTTGCCAAATCATCACATTGCTTTCTTCCCTAGGCCACAGCAGCAGTTTAACCCACTACTTAACCTTCACTCTAATAAGAAAGGATATTTATATGTGAGAAGCTGTCCCACAGCCTAGGGTTGGCCCCTCACCCCTCCATTCAGAGCTAAGCACCCCCTGTGCATGTACATCTCTCCCCACTAGAAGTGGAAGGGTGTGGAGTGGGTCCCACATTTGATTGGTTATCTGATTGGCCTACTGAATGGGGTGGTGCCCACAAAAATGTTTTTCACAAGCTCTTCATACTATTCTGATGCAGCCAGCTGGGCACCAGGGATTCAGGGCAGCCAGCGCCCTTTAAAGCCTGTTGTGACCTGCCTAACCCACCACAACTCCCTCTCTGCCTCATCTTCTCCCTCTCAGGTGTTTGTTCTAATCTCATCCTGTTGATGAATCTTTCCTAGACCACCTTTTTAATAAACCAAACCCTCTACCTCTGCCCTCCCTATTCCCCTTACCCTGTTTGCTGTTCTCCAGGCACTTATTTCCATCTGACGTAGCATTGGCGTGCTGAAGCTGACTCATAAGGGCTCACAAAAGTCTACTGTTACATTTCTAGGAATTCTGCAGGCTGGTTGTTAGGCATGGCCATCATTAAAATGTAATTTATAGCAACTTCCAATTAAATACGTGACATTAAAAACAAAGGTGAAACATGCTTAAACTTGTCACTCTATTTTTTACCACCTTTTACTATTACCTATGTTCTTAGAATTCTTTATATCTGTATATCTGTACAGTAGAAATATATCATATATAAATCATATATAGATCTGTAAAAAGACCCCCCAAAAACAACAAAAAAGAGAAAACGTAAGCAAGTGTCCTGTCCATAGCTGTTCAATTGTAAATAACAAAAAGAATCTGAAAAATATACTTCCAGTATTCAAAAACTATGGTCCAATTCAGCAAATAGGTCAATGAAGTCATTGATAAATGAGTTAAATTTCAATATCTCTGTTGTTTCACTTTTTCACCTTCTTCTTACTATTTAGTGTAAATGAAAATGCCAACATTAATGTTGGTATTATACTTGTTTATCCACTACAACCATAGGTTGGCTACAAATAGAAGGGTCAGGCAAAATCCAAGAAAAGCATACTGTAAGAAGCAACTCACTAATAGAAGTTACAATAAAGAGTATTATAGGACTTTATTATTTGTTGGTTTTTATCAGTAAAATTTATAATACAAACACATATACATTTTGCTTCAGAGAGCCAATTATTAAACATTTACAAGCACACACACAGTTTCCCCTCCACTAGAGAATGTAAGCTTGAGGGCAAGAATTTTTCTGTTATTCTAGCACTTAGAAAAAAGCACCTGGCAAGGCCAGGCATGGTGGCTCACGCCTGTAATCCCAGCATTGTGGGAGGGGGGCGGATCACGAGGTCAAGAGATCCAAACCATCCTGGCTAACATGGTTGTATATATATAACCCCTCTCTACTAAAAATCAAAAATTTAAGCTTGGGCTTGGTGGCGGGTGTCTGATCTGGTCAATCCCTTCTCAGTGAGGTGAAGCATGTGAGTATATCTAGCTGTATACTCTAGTAATGGCGGAGGTTGTCGTGATGTCAGTATGTATATCTCACCACTGGCTAATCTGTCATGCTGGTGCGTACAGTATGTCAAGTACCTACTTGCCATATAATAAAAATATAAAAATATGTATAATATAAAGATAAAGATAAAAAAGAAAAATGCACCTAGCATGTAGTAGGCGCCCAGTCAAAACACGCAACATGACTGAATGGATGAGCATGGTTTGGGAATCCCTGGTTTCATGGGTTGACTATCAGACTTTGTTAGGTTTCCAGCCCACTATAATCTAGCTGGGTTAGATCTAGTGTGGCCTTGAGTACATTATTCAACCTCTTTGAACCTTGGCTTCTTCATTTAAAAAGAGGGGATAATCCTCTTACCTCACAGGGAGGTAGTGACAATGTACACAGCTGTCTGTCACCTATTGTCTGTATTTCTTTCTTACCCTCTACCCCTCACCTCTGCCACATGCACACCTTGGAGACCCAGCCCTGCTACTGTCACATTTCAGTGATGTCACAGCTGCAGGTGGTACAGAGACAGCACCACCATCTGATGCCCAGCCTGAGTGCTGGCTGAACTGAGAGGAGCAGGGTGGGTGCCTGGCACTGGTGTTGCTCCATTCGTCTCTGAGGTCTCACAGCCCCAGCATGAGTCCATCAGCAAAGAAGAGGCCCAAGAATAGCAGGGTTTCCAAGGTCAGACTTGGGACTAGACCCTGGGGGTGAGTCCCTAGAGGGGACCTTAACAAAGAATCACCATGACAAGGACGGGACTTTCCAGCAGGGGAGAAAAGGCAAAGGTGAAGGGTGAAGGGAGGTCAGGAAAGTTAAAATGGTCTCCAAGTTCTGTCCCCAGACCAAGATGACAAAACTCCCAGCCTAGGATTGGTCAAACCATGCTCGGCCAAATGGAGAGGCACATGGAGGAGTACAGGAGGATTTCTCCAGTGTCTCACTCTGTCACCCAGGCTGGAGTGCACTGGCGAGCTCTCAGCTGACTGCAGCCTTCACCTTCTGGGTTCAAGTGATTCTCCTGTCTCACCCTCTTGAGTAGCTGGGACTACAGGCACATGCTACCACACCTAGCTAATTTTTGTATTTTTTTCAGTAAAGTCAGGGTTTCACTATGTTGGCCAGGCATCTCAAACTCCTGACCTCAAATGAGCCACCCACCTCGGCCTCCCGAAGTACTGGGATTACAGACATGAGGCACCACGCCTGGCTGATTCCTCTGGGTTTACGTCTCTCTCTTATCCTCTGTCCCTCAGACGCAAGATGAGAAACCGCAGGACAAGACAGAGCAGCCTCTGAGCAAAGTAATTGAGCGGAACCGTCTGAGAACGGTGAGATGCCCTGTTTTGGTCCCAGCTTGGGGAAGCTCGTATACTTATGCAGTGCTGCCCCTGGTTGCCAGGCTGAGTGGCCCAGGGGAGCCAGCAGGCCGGCCCTTGGCTGAGCGGAGCTAGAGGCAGGCAGGGGAGAGGGAGGCTGTCCAGGAAAGTTGAAGCTTCTATTTATCTGGTTTCTCGACCCCGGCAGGTGTTAAAAAACTTGTCGCTCTTGAAGCTACTCAAGAGCTCGAACCGCCGGATCCAAGAACTGCATAAGCTGGCCAAAAGGTGCTGGCATTCACTGCTCAGTGTTCCAAAGATTCTCCGAATCTCCTCTGGGTAAGCTGGGGCCTGGCCCCCATAATGGACCCAAATGCCGTCTTACTGGGAACAGGCATTGTGCTAAGGAATTTAGAGAACAAGTCTAATTTTCACAAAGCCTCTGTGAGAGAGGTATTTATTAACTCTGTTTTACTCTTGGAGAGCTGAGGCTCAAGAGGTGAAGTGACTTGTCTCACTCAGTTAACTCAGCTGATAAGTGGCAGAGCTAGGATTTGAAGCCATTCCTGTCTGATATCAGAGCTGTGGCCATAACAATGGTTGTAGTCATCCGATTGTGGTGCTCACTCCACCGTGGGGCACTGAGACAGGTCACTCCTCCTCCTCCTCCCCTTGCAAGTCAATATAACCCAGACAGTCACCTGCAGACTGACCCCTCAAATCTGAGGATTAACCTTGCTGAGGCTCAGTTTCTTTATTAATATATAAATATATATATATATATATTTTTTTTTTTACCATGCCTCCGAGACAAGTTCAAACCGTTTGCTCGTAAGTCACATGAGAGTACTAAGAAAGCTAACATTGATTGGTGCCTGCTAAGTGCCATCTACTATGCTAAGCACTTAAGAATTTTCCCATTTAGTTTATTCGTCACAACAATCCTGTTAGGTAGACAGAATTATCCAAGTTTTACAGATAAGGAAGCTAAGGTTCTGAGAGGTTAAATATCTTGCCCAAATCACACAGGTGGTAAGAGGCAGAAGCAGAATCTGAGCCCGTTTGTCTGAACCTAACAACATCTGTGCTCTGTAAGCCACTCTGCTTCACTGCCTTCTACTTTACAGAAGTAGTAAGGATCCCAAGTTGTAAGGATCCCAAGTCTGGCATAGAGTGGGGACTCAATCAGTGGGAGCCATTATTATCATCACAGTATTGCCATTATCTGCAGCCCAAGGCCTCATCTCTCTCCACACCCTTGGCTAGGATGGTGTTGCCACTGGGGGGTTTGCAGGGGGCCCAGTCTGTTACAGACACCCTTTGGGAAAGTCTCAGCATTTAATATTTCTCTCAAGGCCATCTTTCTGGGCTCCTCTTTCTCATTTGGCCTCTAGTTGTAGGCAGTCAGGAAACACAGAGCTAGAAGGATCAGGATCATCTAGCCCCATCATTTTCCAACTTAATTTTTTTTTTTTTTTTTTGTATGGAGACAGAGTCTCACCATGTTGCCCACGCTGTCTTGAACAGTTTCCCAACTTTATTAAAGCAGTGAAACCTCTGTTCAAATATCTATTCCCAAGCCCCAGTTGTGTTGTTATGGGCTGGGGGGAGGTATCCTGCCCCCATTCGGTGAGGGGAAGTGACATTGAGACACCTCCTCAGAACCCTAAGGTTTCTTGGAGCACAATTTAGAAAAACTACTGGACTGTTCACCCTCCCACCTGAAGTCCAGAGAGACAGAATTCTAATCTAGTGGCAGATGATGTAGACAATATCCATTCCTAGGGGCCTTAACTACTAGTCATGGCTCTCACCTTCCCAATCTCTCATATCCCTTCTGCCAGTGCTCATCACACGCCCTCACACCAGCACAAGGCCTCTGGGCAACAGAGAAGTTTCTTTGCATGCCCCTCTAGCTTTATTAACAGGCTCCCCTGAGCTGACTACATATCAACTGTCTCGGGGCAAGGCTAGGCAACCAGGGCCTTGGTCCTGCTCTGCTGACTGCCTTTCCTCTCCCTGCCAGGGAAAACAGTGCCTGCAATAAAGCGAAACAAAATAATGAAGAGTTCCAGGAGATCGGGTGCTCCAAGAAGGAACTCAAGTCTAAGAAATTAGAGTCCACAGGGGACCCTAAGAAAAAAGAGTACAAGGAGTGGAAGCCCCAGGTGCAGTCAAGGATGAGTAACAAGGCAAAAACGTCATCGGCAGCAATGCCATGGAAAGAAAAGCATGTAGAGCCTGAGGTTCCAAGGACATCGAGGGATCATGGCTTGAACCTTGGAGCCCAGGGGAGGCAACTACTCACTGAGGGCCCCCGAGTCATCTTCATTAAGCCCTACCACAATAGAACTCCGATGGGGCACATGAAGCAGCTGAATGTAGCTGACCAGTGGATCTGGTTTGAGGGGCTGCCCACACGAATCCACCTCCCGGCACCCCGGGTGATGTGCAGATCCTCCACCCTGCGTTGGGTCAAGCGCTGCTGCACCCGCTTCTGCTCCGCATCACTTGAAATGCCTATGTGGCATCCATACAAGGTGGGTGTGATAACAACACTGCCAGGCTAGGTGAGATGCAAGCCCCAAGCCAGGCCCAGATCTGGGGCCCAGAGTCAGGGCTCAGGATCTGGAGTCTTGAGTGGTGTGTGGATGGCAGTGCTGGGAGGCTCCGCCTTCATGTCCAGAGATGGGGAAGCCTTAGACCAACGTCATACAGCAGGGTAGTGACTAGGTTGAGGCCTCTCAGGATACAGCTAGGAGACCTGGGGAAGGAGGGGCACTGAAGTGAGCCTTCATTGCCTGAAGGCCTTAGCAGAGGTGGAAACTGCTGTGGCTCTGAATCTCACAGTCAGAGGCCTACATAAGTGGGTTTAAGGATTTCCAAATGTCGGAGGGGGAGATGGTCAAGTAGGGCTTTGCTGCATCCCATTCCCTCTTAGATCAATTCAACTCTCCATTCATGTTTGATTTATTCATGCCTCAAATAAGATTTACTCTGAACAGACTAGGCATGGTGGCTCATGCCTGTAATCCCAGCACCTTGGGAGGTCAGGGCAGGAAGACTGCTTGAGGCCAGGAGTTCAAGACCAGCCTGGGCAAGATAATGAGACACTGTCTCTACAAAAAATTTAAAAATTAGACAGATGTGGTGGCTTGCGCTTGTAGTGTCAGCTACTCAGGAGGCTGAGGTTGGAGGATTGCTTGAGCCCAGGAGGTCGAGGCTGCAGTGAGCTGTGACTTCACCACTGCACTCCAGTCTGGGCAAGACAGCAAGACCCTGTCTTAAAAAAAAAGAAAGGAAAAAAAGAGATTTACTCTGAACAGAAAGTTCCTTAGCAAAAAAAGAAGAAAATACTCCAGCCCTTTCATGGGAGGATTAAAGTCCCATGAAAGGAAGGGGGTGAGTGCCCACCAGGTCTAGCTTAAAGGGAGGCTTTTCCTTTTTAGTAAAGCCATTTCCAACCTACCACAGACACCACAGCACCCTTGTCCCTGCGCCCCCTCCCCAAACGACCAGTGCCCCCTGGGGACAGTCTTAGCATCTAACACCGAGGTTTCTGCTGGCAGGTTGATGTGACCTGGACGGGAGCCAGAGGTGCGAGCAGAGGGTGGAGATCGCGCAGTCAGCTTAAGGGGAGGGATGGGTGGCGAAATTCACGAGTCTACAAATAAAATCTTCCATATGGCACCTAAGATGAATACTGCTTACTCTGCCTGTTTGTCTGGGGCTGGGAAGGATGAAGGAAAGAGGCCTTCGGTAGAGGGAGCCTGTGTCGCGACTTCAGGCTTCCCCCACCTCCACCCCCTGGCCCCGAAGGTCAGTCTAGAACCAAATAAGCCAGCGAGCTGCACCCCTCCCCCACCTCCACGAGCTGGTCTCCTGAGTGGTGCGCTCTATGAAGTCAGGGCGCTCGTGTGCTTCCTGGATGCAAGGTGCCTCACAATCGCCCCGTGAGCCCACAAGAGGAAACCGCGGCACGGAGGCAGAAAGTAACTTGTCCAGGCTCACTCAGCTAGAAAGTGGCAGGAGCAAGGGCTCCTGGTTGCTCCCCATTCCATTTTCCCAAGAAAGGGAAAAGGTGAAATGAGAGCCTGCTCAGAAGCCACGAGGCAGGAGGAATAGCCCTAGCACCCTGTGGGTCATGCGCGTGCATTGCGACCTGATTGTCAAAAACTGATTGTCAAAAACTGATTGCATTGCGGCTGGTGTCAAAAAGTGGATGTCAGCTGGGCCTCCAAATGTGTCGTGCCTTCGTCACAGATCATAGAAGGCACCGGATCAGGCGGAGGAGCTGGTACTGCATCTCTACTGCTCCAGCATGACATGGCAGGTCCACCCTCAATCCGAAGACCTCAACCCCAAGCCCTGGTCGACCCCATCTGGCCGGGGTCACCCTCTGTCGGTAGGAGTCACAGGACCCTAACTTAGACGTTGCGGAGAGGAAAGCCAAGGGAGCCCGAGTTTTCTCCGGACAAAGGCCTCCATATTCCCCAGAGGCAGGCTGCGTGGAGTGGGCACCCTCGGGAGAGCAGTGGAGCCACTGAGGGGCACACAGCTCTCTGGGGGTGAGGGTCAGGGCAGCGATGAAGATAGATCTCCAGTTTGGGAGAGAGGGAGAACGATTGGATGGACTTCGCCCCCCGCCCCGCCCATTCACACACTCCTCCCCACTATTACTGGGCATCAGCAGCCGCGCGGACCAGCCTGGGCAGAGCCACGGTGCGGGGACTGCTTAGCACCCATAGTGGCTGCTGCGCGCTCCCGAGCTCCACCTCCCAGCGCAATCTTCCTGGAGCTCCCCTACGGTGCCTACCTCCGCCCCCACCACCCCGCCACTTCCCGCGCCACCTCCACCCCAGTAACCTCCACTTCCACGGGTCTTCCCACCCAGCTTGCACTCCAGCCCATTTCCTGAACAGTCTCCATTGCGGTTCCCTTGCTGGGTATTTTCAATTCCATCAACTTTCGAAAATAATCTCTACTCACTCTTTCATTCCATCAACCTTTGCGTGAATTTCTGTCCTGAGCGCGCTGTCAGCGACAGTCAAGACAGCGCCCTCCCAGCTAAAAAAACCCGACCCTTTCTGGGGAGCCCCCTTGCACTAGCCTTCATGGGGGCCTGCCCAGGGAGCCCCAAGTAGAGGCTGGATTGGGATGGGCCTGAGTGAGACTGGCAACTTCACTTTGCTCCAGACAGCTGGAGTTGGGCCCCAGTTGCCCACTGGGAATGCCACCGAGTATAGGGGAGGGCTGTGTGTGAAGGCGGGGACCCAGCATGGCCAGGGCAGCAAGCGGCAGGCCTGGGAGTGAAGGAATCCCAGTAGTAGGCTCCTTCCACCTCATCCCACCTGCCCAGGCACTTAGGCCTCTGGCCACCTGCCTCCCACAATTCCACAACCGGGGTCTCCCCACTACCAACCTCCCTTTGTTTAACCATTTCAACCTAAAGCTCCTCCTCTGGGCCCAGTAACACTGATTTGGAGAGGAAGCCACCCCAGAAATGGCTGCTTAACAGTTAACTGGGAAAAAATTGAAGTGTGTGAATCTGATTTTATATTGAGTGACTTTTTAGAAGTCACCTGACCTCTCTGAGCCTATTTCATGTTTATAAAATAGTGATACTAATGTCTGTTTCGGGGGTTTTAAGCAAATCAAGCTTGATGTAGGAGAAGCCAGTTTGTGGGGCACTGAACAAATGTTTGGCCTTTTCTCACGCCACACCAGGGTCATCATCATAAAGCCCTGTGGCCAGTCAGTCCTGGCTCCATTTCTCATCAGCAGCTACCTAACTACCCACCTTTAGGGAGCTATCTACTTGTTAACAAGCCAAATGTATGTTTACATTCACAACCTTTTGCTAATACGGCATATGGCATCTAGATCCCTAAGTCTGTCTATCTCACAATTGTCTGGATCACACATAAACGTAACTGGAATGTCAAAAGAGGATGAGGCAGACAGGCCTAGTTTCCTACCAACTTTGTAACGGGGAAAAAGTTGTTTACTCCCAATCCTCAGTTTGTCTGCAAAATGGGGGAAATAGTGGTGCTTACCTTATTGGACTGAGTAAGAATACACATAAATCACTTTGCAGTACATGCCAGATAGGAGCTCAATACTTGGTAGTGGTACCTAGAGGACTGGCAAGCCTATCCCCCAACATTTGAAAACACAGGCTCAGAAGAAAAATGTCTCCTCTTCTGTAAAATGGATAGGGGGGCGGTAGCCTAATAATTGCCTAGAATTATGGATCACTTCCTACATGTCAGGTGCTGGGCTAAGCGCTTTACACATGACATCTCATTGCATCTTCACGGTAAAACCAGGGAGGGAACACTTTTTCCATTTTATAGAATTAAGTGTTGACTTACCAGAAAAGAAGGCAAAACAAAACCCAGGGAAATAAGTACCATTATTACGCTCATTTTACATATGAGGAAATCTAGGTAAGGGAGATAACATAGCTTACCCAAGATCTCACAGGTAGTAATGGGACTCCAGGACTTTGTACTCCACTGCAGCTCTCTAAAGCCTTTCAGCATTGGACCCCTATGACTGTGACTTGCCCAGGTAGTGGCAGGGCAGGGATTAAAACCCTCAGCTCCCTCTACTCCCTCCTGCCTCAATGCTATTTCTACCACCCTTTACTACTTTCCAACAGAAAATCTTAAGACGGTGGTTTTTAATCTCTCCAAAGAAGAGTTCTCTTGTATGCTGATTCTATCCCTATTCCTCTGCTTCTGAGATTCCGTGGTCCCTGGGCTGCCAGCACAAGGTGTTCCACACCTGTGCACTGACTGCCCTCTGGGCCTGGCAGAAGGAAGCTACTGACCTGGGAGTCACTGAGGAAGGAGTCCAAGGGGATTCCTGTCCAGGGGAGCCTGTTTGAGCTGTGTACCCTCCAGGATGTTGGGAGTCCCGGAGCTTCAGATTGTACCCCCTGGTGTCTGCTGGCTGCCATCCTGGCTCTCATTTGGCACTGATATGGACAGGGCTGCCTAGAGCGAGGGGTTAGAAGTACCCTCTGAGCCAGACATCCCTTTTTCCTTTCCTGTTCTCCTTTAAGGGTAATAAACTATTCTGAGCATCAGCTATGTAGGAGTCTCCAGTTTTCTTTCTGAATGGCCCGAGTTCACGTGGTGGGTGGGAAAAAGGGAGGTCAACTTCAGACACCTGGAGAGTTAAGAGATATGCCAACTCAGTAGTGGGCTAGTACTCTCTTATCTAGGTACCACCCTTTATCCTTTGGAAATAGATTTCCCACATTCCTAAGATCACTTGAAAATCTCTGGCCAATGCTGGGCACAGTGGCTCAGGCCTGTAATCCCAGCACTTTGGGAGGCTGAGGTGGGTGATCACTTGAGAGGCCAAGAGTTCGAGACCAGCCTGGCCAACACAATGAAACCCTGTCTCTACGAAAAATAAAAAAATTAGCCAAGCACGGTGGTGCACACCTGTAATTCCAGCTACTTGGGAGGCTGAAGTACGAGAATCGCTTGAACCCGGGAGGCAGAGGTTGCAGTGAGCTGAGATCAGGCCACTGCACTCCAGCCTGGGTAATGAAGGCGGAGTGAAACTCTGCCTCAAAAAAAAAAAAAAAAAAGGCCAGCTGGGCTTGGTGGCTCACACCTGTAAAGTCCCAGCACTTTGGGAGGCCAAGGCAGGTGGATCTCTTGAGCCCAGGAGTTCGAGACCAGCCTGGGCAAAGTGACAAAGCCCTGTCTCTAAAAAAATAAAAACAAAAAATAAATAAATAAATACAAAAATACAAAAATTAGCCAGGCATGGTGGCATGTGCCTGTAGTCCCAGCTACTGGGGTGGGGGGCTGAGGCAGAAGGATCATTGAGCCTGGGAGGTTGAGGCTACAGTGAGCCAAGATCACACCATTGCACTCCAGCCTAGGTGACAGAGTGAGACCCTGCCTCAAAAAAAAAAAAAAAAAAAAAGGAAATGTCTGGCTATATTTAATGTACTGCATATCAGCTTTTCTTAGAAAGCTAATAATGTTTGTAAGGTACTATTCATCCTTGGTATTTAAAAAAAATATGACAGGATAACATGATATGATAAGGTGATAGACTATTTAACCAGACTGTTTAACCAGTCAGAACTTATACATCCCTAACTATTGACCTCTTCAAAATGAGCTTATTAATATCACTATCAAAGCCCAAATCCTGCCTCTGCCAGCTCCTAAAAAGTCACCTTGAGTAAGTTCCTTACAGTTCCCTCATCTGTAACACACAGATGACGTTACTTGTTACTTCAGAGGGTTCTTGTGAAGATGTTGAAAAGAGACATAAAGCACTCACCCCACGCTGCTGGACACCTCTTAAGTACTCAATAGATGTTATTTATTATTAAAATGACAAACATGTCACTGCCATTGCCCTGCCCTCTCTGGAACTCAACTCTAAAAACTGCTTTTATTGTTACTTTAGAAATCACAAAAATCTCATTAAGGTCACATATTTTTGATCCCCAACTATCATGCAGCTCAGTCTCTATAGAACTGAAAAAAAGTTTGGATCACGTGACTTTTGGCCATTTCTAAAAATCAAATTAACACTGAGGGGACAGAGATTTGTCATCACAGAAGATATGCAGAAAAAGTGGCACAAGACCTTGAAGTGAATCCCAAAGAGGTGCTCCAACCACAGATGGAGTAACCACCACCACAGCTGGTCAAGGGTGACAGCAGCCCCATGATGGGTGTTCTTTCAAAGTCAGTCACATGCCTGTACAGTTTGTGTTGTTTAGAGGGAAACTGATCAACCCAGGGAAGGTCATCCCAGCTGGTCTTACCTTCTGGACCCTGCAGCCAGGATTACCACGCCCCATTAACAAACTGCTTCCTTCCAACTTGGCCAAGGCACCATGAGTTACTGAGGTGCCTCACCCTAGAACCTTCCCAGTCTCTTCCCAGGCATATTTACTCCTAAACTTTCATCCTGTCAGTATCAACTCCCTACTCTGTAGGGCTGACAGCCAGGAGGTCGGATGGGCTTCTCAGGGAGATAGCAAAACTCATTTGTGTTACCATAACACTGACAGCTGAAAACTGACAGCTCTCTTGGGAAAGCTCCCAAGAAACCAAAGAGGAACAGTGAAGGTTTCAATGCAGAAGTGGGTCTAGACTGTGTGCCACTCCATTGAACATGTTCAGAAATCACTAGCAAGTAGGAAAGGAAACTCAAGAATCACGTGGTTCACCTGAGGCATAGCAGGGGACATTGCAAGTGAAGGAGACAGGATGTAAGAGTTCCCTGCACTGAGTATTTCAACCAAATGGAGGAATGACTCTGGGGTCCAGGAAAGGGAGAAGGTGGCCTAATAATTCTTTAAAGTTCCCTTGCCTGGCTGCGCTGATCTCTCTCAATCTCAACCATGGCATTACAAAGTAAGTACAGGCAGAACCGTGGAAAATACTGTATTTATATACACAGGAAGGACAGCTGCAAGCCCCTCACAGAGGAAACTCCACCCCAAAGAAAAATCTTAGCAGCAAATTCCTATCTCCCTCAGCACTATCAGCACAGCCCAGGCCAGAAGGTTGGGCTTCTTGTCTCTGGGAACCCATCATACCCTTCCCGCCACAGAATTCTAAATAAGGCAGGAAAAAGAACTGGAGTCCAGTGGGAGTTGGGTGCCTGGTCATTCCTAGAAGACAGGCAGTGTCTTTATGATGGTTAGACTTTGAGCAACGCTGGGATTCTTCTCTGGGTCCTATGGCCTGCTATGTTGAGAGCTGGCAGCAGGATGGGGACCTGGCAGAAGGAACTGGAAGAAAGTCATAGGTTCTTGGGTACACACGAACGTGCGTGTAACAGGGCACAGGTTGTGCATTTTCCTTGTGCTTGATGCATCCATCTGCCATCCTCTCTCTGACAGCAGCCTAATACTTGACACCTACATTTCTTTCTGTGGCTCTGGATCCGGAAACCAAGCGTTTCTCCAACATAACTGCTGTGATTTGGCAACAATGCAAAGGTAACAGCTGTCCCAGGGAGGTAAGATAGATGACTAAAGAAGTGGTTTGCTCCAATCAGATATCCTTGATATTTTTTCTCTCTTAAAACAACAAGCTGGTGACAGGTATTGTGGCTCAAAAGTGGCATGGTTCCAATTCTGTTATTACCCTCAAAGAGGTCCCCTTCCTGACCTCTCAGATACCAAGGCTTCAGCAGACAGAGGCCATTCTTGCAGCTGTCATGCTGACTGCTACTTGCCTTCTTTGACAGGCCCTCACTATGTCTCCCACACCAACAGACACTTCACATTTCCAGGGTTCCTCTCAGATCTGGGCTGGACCTCATCTGTAGGGTCTGGGCAGCCCAAGGTGTTAAGGGGCCCAAGTGTCAGCAGGATGTCCAAAGGGCCCGATTCTAGACATTGGATTTAGGGGCTGAGTTGAGGGGTATCTCCTTGAGCTCCGTCCGCATGCACAGGTACTCCCCGATGACAGCCATGAGTGCAATGCACACGGCTTGGACCAGCCACCAGGTCAGCGCCGAGGGGAAACGGGAGCTGTAGAACCAGCAGCCCAGGAGGTGAAAGAAATGGACAGTGACAGTGAAATCCAGACACTGCTTTCCTCGCCGGATGAAGTACAGCAAGCCCAGGGCACTGTGGGGAGAGGACAGCAGTGAGTTGTCACTGGGTTGTCCTGGTCTTAGGTTATTTGGGAGGGTAGGGACAATTAGGATGGCAGCATAGTGGTCAGAAGTGACAAGATAAGTGTGAAGCAAGGGTTATATTAGATGCCTGGAAGAACCTGGCAGGTAATGTCAAGAGTGAAGCTGACTGAGTATGAGCTTGATGATTGATGGCAATTGTCACTAAGGGATACTAGGAATTGGTGGGGATTATGACACCCTGAAGCACACATGTTCTAGCTAAAGTGGGGGCAGTAGTTACTTGCATCTAGGCAAATCTTATCATGCTAGAAGGTTGGCCTACAATCAATCAGTCATTCCATTATTCAAGAGAAGCCAGAAATCTGGATTTTTATATAAAATAGCCTGATTTTCAACTAAGTGAAAAAAATGTTTTAAACACCATGTGTGGGCTGACATCTATGTAAGCCAAATAGAACCTATCTGGAAGACAAATTTAGGTCAAAGTCAGCCCACCAGTTTTCAATCTCCAGTGTAAGGACAAGAATAATAATAACGTGCAAGGCATTGTTCTAAGTCCTTCTTGTGAATTAACTTATTTAATCCTTACAACTATGAGGTAGGTAATATTATTAGCCCCATTTTACTGATGAGGCAACTGTGGTTGATTAACTTGTCCAAAGTCACTAGACTAGTGGTAAAGTTGAGGTTCAAAGCCAAATAAGTCTGCCTCCAGAGCCTGAGACCTTGATCACTATGCTAAACTGCCTCTTAAGAGACAGGCAATGATTATGTGTGACCTTAGACGTCACCGAGTCCAACCCCTCATGGACAAAAGAGGAGCCTGAGGCCCATGGCAGGTAACTTGGCCAATGGCACACAAACCAAGAACAGAACTCAGCTCTCCTGCCTCTCGGTCGAATCTTTTCCTCAGCTCACTCCACATCAGGGAAGTTATCTGAGATGGAAGTTGTCTTGCAGGCAGCACAAACATAGTGACATAAGAGCTTTCCAGGTAAGTCAAAATAGCAATGGAAGGAAGCCCATGATACAGCCGGTCCCAGAACTGGCCTCTGTCACCCACCTTACTCCACCACTCCCCAGAAACAAACGCCAACCTGTCTCATGCTCAAACTTAGGAAGTTAGTCCCAGCGCTAAGAGCCCAAAAGCTGGATAGCCAAACTGGTGATACTCACCAGGTGAGGGCGTTGAGGATGAAGGACATCATGGAGAGCCGGCCTGGAGGGGTGGAAAAGCCCAGGATCTGAGGGGGAATCACAAATGGAAATATGCTGGAGAAGTGACTTGGCAGAGCCCCAGGATCTCAGCAAGCCTCCTAAGGAACAAGCATTCTTCCCGGAGCACAGAAGGTAATACCTCCCTTCATTTGTACGGCAGCCTATTTCCAACTAGGTGCTTTCATAGACATCCATTATGGGATTTCATTTGTTTCTCACAGCAGGTGGAAAGGGATTATTTTCATTTTACAAAGGAGGATGTAAAAGCTCAGACAAGTTAAGTTGCCCAAAGAGTAAAGTCTAGAACAGCGTTCAGCTGACTATGGCTCCATAGGCCAGGCATCTACTCCCGTACATAAAGTTTTATTGAAACACAGCCATACCTATTCACTTATGTATTTGTCTATAGAAGCTTCTGTGCTACAATGGCAGAGTTGAGTAATTGTGACCTAAAATCCTTACTACTTCACCCTTAAAGGAAAGGTTTGCTGATCCCTAATCTAGAACCCAGGTGGTGTGCATCAGATGGCTCTTCCACAAAGCCCAGCATTCCCACAGCTCTTCCCAGGAGGATAGAGGCTCCTACGAGACTACAACTAGGCACATGGTGGGTGTGCAACCTCCACTATCTAACACAATACTATCAAATGCCAAACATCTGCACCACACTTTCAGCTGACAAAGAAAGGTCTTTGACATACACAATCTTGTATTATCCCTAAAAAAACCTCACAAAGCCATTCTTCTTTTGATTCTTATCACTTTTTGGACAATAACTTGCCCACAGGCTACACGGAGAACAAGCAGCAGGAGCAAGGACTCCACCCCAGGTCTCCTGGCTTTAAGAACTGTGCTCACCACCACACGCCACAGCTGCCTCTTAGCTGTAACAACTTACAGGCCTCCTTTACACTTTACGAAGTACTTTCTTATTCCTAAACCCCTCTGTGCCTTGTAACATTTTGTTGAGGGTGACATGACAGGCGTATTCTGCCCACTTTTCAGAAAAGGCTCAGAAGGGGAAGCAACTTGCCCAAGGCCCCACAGCTAATATTATATGGTTAGGCCTAGATTGAACACTTGCTTTTCTGAATCCAACGCACATGCTCTTTATATTGCAGTCCACGACCTCGTTGCAACTAGTCTCATGGTTTTGAAGACAGGAAAACAAGTTCACAGAGGTGACATTTGCCCCAGGTCACACAGCTAGTAAGTGGATCTTAAACGGAGGCCTGTCCTGACCCCAAAGTCCAGGCAGTTTCCACTGTACCCGCATGAATGCTCTTTTATCTACTCCTCTCTCCGGTGTGGCACCTGAGAACCTAGCTCAGAGAAGTTAAGTCACTTTCCTAGAGTATCAGAAAGGAAATGTATCACAGTTGCCTGGAACACAGACGTGTTTATTGTATTAACATCCAGGCCCTTTCCTTTGTACTAATCAGCCTCTGCTGTCATTCCATTTTATGGATGAGGCAACTGAGGCTCAGAAACGTGAAATCCCTTTCCCAGGGCTACAAAGCAAGAAGGTGACCCAGCCAGGTCTACAGCACAGTAGTGCTGGATCACAAAGCCTAGTCGGGGAGGCCGAGACCCCACCCGCGCCAGCCCGGGGACCCTACCTCGGCGTCGAACATCTGGTCCAGCGAGGGGCTGCTTCGCACTAGTCCGTCCACCAGCGCCAGCCACAGGCCCAGCGAGCCATAATACACGGTCTGCATGAGGACGATCTGCGACAGGATCAGCAGCGGGTCCCACACGTAGCTGCGGAACTGACCCGCCATGCCCTGCAGGGACACCAGCCGGGCCTCAGCCAGCGGCCCGTCGCCATGGCAACGCCGCCCCGCCCGGGAGGAGGGACTGGAACCAAGGGGTGAGCCCATTCCAAGAGTTAGGGGGAAGGCGGGGCGGACAGACCCATTCTCAGAGTGAGGGGAAATCCAGCCCATTCCGGCTGCGCGGCCCCCGCCCGTACACGAGCTCCTCTGGGGTCTACTCACCAGTGACAGACTCGACGATCGAAGTGTTCGAGCGTGGCCCGGCCTCACCCGCTGGCTCCCAAAACAGCGCTGACAGACATGACCATGGAGGAGAGGCGCTGCCGGCCTAGAGAGGCAAAGCTCCAGCGGCCGCAGCGGCGGGAGCGACTCCGTAGGAAAGAAGCGTTTCCGGGGAAAGCTGCGGAGGGGCGGGGCTGAGGTTGCGCAGGCGTAGTGGGTGCAACCTTTGCCTGAACCGCCTGAACAAGGTACTAGCAGCCGGATAGCGAACTGAGCACATGCGCAGAAGGAAGAGTGAAGGCAAACGGAAGTGAGGAACGAAGGCCGCAGAGCTTGCGCGCCCTCTAGAGGGAAATTTCTTTTTAAAGGAAGGCGGCTAGGGGAGAGGGAGGTGGGGTGGATTAGGACGCAGTAATGATGTTTGGGAATTAACGAGGTGATAAACTGTGTCGCTATTTTCAGCCTAAATTCTCAGTGTTTTCTCCCAGTTAGAGTCTGATAGCTTGAAATGGACCTGCAAGCTCCTCCAGTTAGGAGTTTGCCACTGTTCCCGCTATACGGATAGTTAAGCTAATGGCCAGAGAAGGAAAGCAACATACTGTTTCAACGACACAGTTAGTAGCAAAGTAAGGATTAAAATTCAAGTGTTGGCCGGGTGCGGTGGCTCACGCCTGTAATCCCAGCACTTTGGGAGGCTGAGGTGGGCGGATTACCTGAGATCGGGAGTTCGAAACCAGCCTGACCAACATGGAGAAACCCAGTCTCTACTAAAAATACAAAATTAGCCGGGCGTGGTGGCGCATGCCTGTAATCCTAGCTACTCGGGAGGCTGAGGCAGAATTGCTTGAACCCGGGAGGCAGAGGTTGCGGTGAATCAAGATCGCGCCATTGCACTACAGCCTGGGCAACAAGAGCAAAACTCCATCTCTAAATAAATTAATTAATTAAATTCAAGTGTTCCTCAACACTACAACATTGATTTCACACCCACTGGGTGGCAGGAAGGCTAGAACATGTACATGTAAGACAGTCCCTGCCCTGAGACACAGTTGAACTACATTAGAAGGCAGAGTAGTGGGTGTTTTAAAATGTGGGTGCCAAATGGGAAAAAGCACAGATTCTGAAGTCGCACCTAGGAGTAAATCCTGACCCTCTCTGCTGCCATGACTATTTTATCTATCTTCCAAATCCCAATGGTGGACAGTCAGTAAATATTTGCTGAATGAGTCAAGAACAGAGAAAGCAACAGCAAGTCAATGACTCACTTATTCCTACTCCAGCAGAAGAAAACCCATCAACTTCATTGAATCTAGGTTCCCCCTCTCTGGAGTGGAAAGAAGGGAAGTAACTGGTTCCAGGAAAAGAATTTGGGTTTTAGGGCCAGCTATGCCACCCAGTGTGACCAGGAAGCCACTTCCTTCTTTAAACCTCAGCTTCCCTGTTTATGAAATGAGGAGTTGGACATGATTAACGTTTTCCACCATTTAATCTACCTTCCAGTAATTATTTTCTTATTAAAAAAAACTTAGGCCCGGCGTGGTGGCTCACGCCTGTAATCCCAGCATTTTGGGAGGCTGAGGTGGGCAGATCACGAGGTCAGGAGATTGAGACCATCCTGGCTAACACGGTGAAACCTCGTCTTTATTAAAAATACAGAAAATTAGCCGGGCGTGGGGGCGGGTGCCTGTAGTCTCAGCTACTCGGGAGGCTGAGGCAGGAGAATGGCGTGAACCTGGGAGACAGAGCTTGCAGTGAGCCAAGATCGGCCACTGCACTCCAGCCTGGGGGAAAGAGTGAGACTCCGTCTCAAAAAAAGAAAAAAAAAACTTATCAAAGAGCCATGTAACTGCCAATCAGAATTTCTGAACGGCTTGTGTTAGCCATGTTATCACCTTGAGCTGATATAATTCCAGACAAAAGTAAAGAAACCTGAGACTTTATTGAGAGTATGCGATTGTCCTTATCATTTGGAAATACCCTGAACAGTTGACTTGGACACCAGTTTGGGAGTTACTAAGGCCCAAAGATCTCTTAGGTGCTTTCCAGCTCAACCATTCTTTAAGGCACCTCAATTCAGTTCAACAAATATGTATTCAAATTCCTCTAGTTCACTGATGATGCACATGATCTAGTGTTTCTGAGAAAACATCTGTTTCTTAAGTGTTTACATGATCTTGTTTAATCCTCACGATCAGAAAATACAGCTATTATCCCCTTTTTATAGGGGAGGAAACTAGGCTATGGGGGAGGTGGTGTGACTCTCTAGGTCAGAGAGCTCACAGGGAGCAGAGCTGAGATTCAAATTCAGGACAACTGACTCCAAACATCAAGATGCCTTTTAGTTTGGTTTTGGTTTGGTTTAGTTTGGTTCTTTGAAACAGGGTCTCACTGTGTCACCGATGCTGGTGTGCAGTGGTGCAGTCATGGCTCACTGCGCCCTCAAACTCCCAGGCCCAAGCCTCAGCCTCCCAAATAGCTGAGACCACAGGCATGTGCCACCACACCTGGCTTTTTTTGAAATGGACTCTTGCTCTGTCGCTCAGGCTGGGGTGCAGTGGCATGATCTTGGCTCACTGTAACCTCCGCCTCCCGGGTTCAAGCGATTCTCATGCCTCAGCCTCCTGAGTAGCTGGGATTACAGGCATGTGCCACCATGCCCAGCTAATTTTTGTATTTTTAGTAGAGACGGGATTTCACCATGTTGGCCAGGCTGGTCTGGACTCCTGACCTCAAGTGATTTGCCCCTCTCAGCCTCCCAAAGTGCTGGGATTATAGGCATGAATCACCACGCCTGGCCCACACTTGACTTTTTTAATTTTTCAGTTTATTTTATTTTATTTTTTTGTAGAGACAGGGTATCCCTATGTTGTCCAGGCTGGTCCTGAACCCTGGGCTCAAGCAGTCCTCCCACCTTGGCCTCCCAAAGTGTTAGGATTACAAGCATAAGCCGCTGTGTCCAGCTGAGATGCCATTTTAGAATAAAAAAAGAGGAAAGAAGGGAGGAAGGGAGGGAGAAAGAGGGAGATGAAGGAAGGGTGATAGTAAAATAGTCAGGTGGTGGAGTAGCAGGAAGTGGAAAAGGGGCAGTGAATCTCTCTGCTCAGTTAGCCCTGAGGTGAGGGATTAGGGAGAAATGGGAGGAAAAGCTTAGGAAAGGCTTAGGAAAAGGGTGACAATAGCCAGGGCCGATGTCTTCCTTGCAGGTGCTGGAATGTGTGGCTCTTCCTGGACTCTGCCCCCTTCACGTCACAGCTGGGCCCACTCCACCCCATCTCCTCCCAATAGGGAAGGCCCTCCCTACCCATTCTGCTGAACTAGAAAACACAGGTAGCTTTCGACATTAGGGCTGGTTGGAATGTCTGATGTCATCCCTGGAGTCCGGAGCTCACCTCTGGGCAAACCCCAATGGGCGTGCAAGCTAACCTCCCACCCTTTCCTTTTCCCTTCAGGAATTCAGTTCTTGGATTCCCGCGTTGCCAAGCTTCAGAAATGCATACCATCCTCTGTCTTAATTTGGATCCAAGAAGGAAACCAAGAGCTGGGGAAAATCATGGCAACCCCCTTGTTTAGCTTCAGTGGCCCATCTTGAAATTTGAACACAAGCAGTCTGCTTCAGGCCACAGAGTCTGAACTAGAGCCCCACTGGCTTGCTATGTCACCCTGGGCGAGTCCCCGGTGGGTCCCAGTATCCCAAACTATCAAATGAAAGAAGAGGGACTCCAACTTGCAGATGTTGTCGTGGAGCTGTGCCATCTGAATCACCTGAGGAACATATTGGATATTCAAATTTCCAGTCCTTGTTTGCAAACCTAAGTCCAAATCTCCCAAAGCAGAATTGTGGAGATCTGCGCATTTAAAGAGCTCCCCAAGTGATCCAGAGGTGCACCCACATTTGGTAACTACAGCACAAGATGATCTGTAGTTGACCCTAAACCAGCTCCTTCATCCAACAGAAGACTGCTCTGTGACCTTGGCGAGTCACATTCCGGCTTCAGGGTTTTTTTCCATCTGTAATATGAGGGGTTTGGATTTGAATAGCCGGTCTCCAAGGGTTCTTCCTACGCTGCCAAGTCTGTGGTTCCAAACTTATGAATGAAATGTTAAACTTTAGGTCAGAGGCAGAGTGACGAACAGCCACAAGCTGGGACAAACTGTCCTCTGGGTGGAGGGGAGGGGAGTGCCTCTGGTCACTTGGTCTCTTCCGTCACTCTCACACTGGGGCCCCACTGCGTGCATGTAAGGACAATCACTAAGGTCACCTTCTGAATCCACCCCCATAAATCCCTTGGGAAATGTTCTCCCATAGGTCCATAGGCTTGAGAGCCCTGCTCAGATTCGAATCCTGGCTCTCCAGCCGTCTTGCTGTCCTGCTGGGTGACCTTGGGAAAGTTACTTCATGTCTCTGAGTCTCAGTTGGTTTCCTCTTCTATAAAGTGGAGTTCAGAATAGTACCCATGTTATGGGCTGTCCTGAGGGTCAAACGTGTGCCTAGTCCACCGCCTGATGTGTAGTTGGTGATATGTTAACATCAGCAATGATAATATGATTGTTATTATTTCTTCCTTTGGAATGTGGGAACGGAAATGCCTGATCTCAGATTAATGGCAAGGATCTAACAATGTATCAGACAAAACAAGCCCGGTGGCTGGCCCATAGTAGGATCACATTAAATGTGGTACCTTCTCTTCCTCCTGTCACCCCTACTCTCGTGTTCTCTAGATCCCTCCCTCTCTCCCTTCCTCCCTGGCTAGGCTGCCCTACTGCCCTGCTCCCATGTTTCCTTTCTGGGAATATTTGATGAAGACACTTCAGTAGAAACACGTGTCTCAGGGACAGGTTATGCAACTCTGTGCTCACAGTTTTTTGGAAATCCCACGTGGGAGGCTTGGAGTTGGCTGCCTGTCCTCTGCATCGGTGACCATCCTGGACTCTGGCCAGTGAGTTCCTCTCTTAGAAGGGAAACTGGAGAGAGAGCTCATTAGCTGCCTGTTTTCTCCTCAGACTGAAAACCCCTTTGTTACCCAGGTTGCTTTAAGTGCTGTTTGTGTCTGTGTTTGGGGAGGAACATTTGCTGAGCATCTACTGTATGACAGGCACTTATATAATTTAATCCTTATTTAATTTCTAAAACAAGCCTGTGAGTTGAGAACTATTAATAGCCCCACTGAACACATGCAGATTCTGAGGCTCAGAGAAGGGGCATTTACCCAAAGCCATGCTGCCAGTGAGTGGTAGAGCTGAACTCCAACCCAGGTCAGTTTGACTCCACACACTATTCCTTT